TAGAGGGCACTGTATTGTTGTGTTTGTGCTCCATGTGTTTTGTCCACTGGAAAGGAGCTCTAGAAGGCACTCTGGGGGGGCGACCCTGTTGACTTGTCCTCAGGAACTGCTGCATCAAAATCTCAATTTCCTGAGTTTGAACCAGATAACTGAAGGATTTTGACAGTGAGAATGGCGATTAAAGTGAGTAATCTACAGAGAAAAGGAAAAAACTGGAGAAATGTATTGGGAACAAAAGAAGAAAAAACAGAAACAAAACAAAAGTTGTTTCTAGGCTCTGATTAGATATTGGAGACTGACCTCAGGCAATCTTCTGCCTGCTCCGTCTGGAAATCCCCTTTATCCTGCAAAAAATACTCTCCTTGTCTGGTCTAGACTCTTTGTGTGTGTGTGTGTTTTGTGTAACGGCTAGCACAGGTGACTCAGCCTTAACATTTGGACAGACTGGAACAACCCTGCTTCTACCCCCTTGTACAACCACCACACACACAACACACAACGCACGGCAACACCTTGGCCTGCTGCACATAACTTTTCACATCATATCATCCGTGCTTTCTGCTACGTTTCATTCGAGAGCTCTGGCAATGGCACCACACACACACACACACACACCTTACCTCACCCCTCGGATCATTCGTCAGCTCGTCACAGGTAGGGGTTACCTCATCAGTGATGTCATTTTCCGACACACCTACCTCCTCTGCCCTCAAACTGCTCTCCTGCATCGCTGAGACATGGATCAATATAGTTTTATACCTGTTGACAGATGTTCAGAGGATTAGAGCTGAAGTGTGTAGTGCTATGTGGAGATATTGCCTGAAGTATCAACTCTTGAGTACTGGTTCTCTGCAGCAGAAGAACTGGAAAAAAACGTCAAGAAACAAGCAGCAGTATCCGATTTAAAGACGTTTGATAGATGTAGTGTATTAGATAACTGGAAAGCCCATTACTCTCAGTAGAAGTAGTCACAGGTTTTAGCCAGTTCCCGACCTTTTTTGTTTTGGCTTGTGACCCATTAAAACAAAGCAATGACGCACAGTGGCACCTCATCAATGGTTGCATGTTGTGACCAGTTCAACAAAAGAGCCTTGCTATTTTTATGTGCGGATAATCTTTTGAGGATTATGAAAAGTAAAATCCACAAATTCACCATAAAGGAGAAAAAAAGATAAAGAAATCAGGAAAATAAATAGTTTTTCTTGCTTTTCTCTCCCGACAATCATCTCGCAGTCTCTCAGATTTATCTTGCGACCCCCAACGTGGGATGCTTTTACTTCGATCAGATTGTTCCAATGTTGAAGAGAACATACATTTGCCAAGCAGGGACAAAGTCTGAGAACAGGTTTAAGACCAAACACTTAACCTGATCCATGATTTCTGTGAGACTATCCAATGGCAAAAGCACCTCTTTTTGGTCAATTCCTTTTCCAATCTCTCGACAAGAAAAGGCTGGAATCCACATGCAGTTTTTTTGTTCACCTTCCTTCAGCCAATCGTGATCAGATGCATGTTAACGTAGCTGTCCATGCAGTTTCAGATTTCATCTGGTATACCCATTTTCAAGCCAGTGTCTTCAGTCCATGTGATTCCACTGTGCCATTTATACCAAGATTGAAGAAATATATATATGTATGTGCTGTAAATCGGTGCAGTTTTATGTCAACCGATATTAAACCTGCATTCATTTATTATTAATTAATTCCTTTTCAAATAGTACCTTCTCCAAAGCCTCTCTCAGTGTTATCACCGTCTAATCACTTCACCTTCACATTTATCGTCAGTGTAGAAAGATATTGCCAGACTTTGTTGGATTCTGACTTGAATTCTCTTAAATTTTTTTGCCTTTGTTCTCATAGCTGGCATGAGCTCTCATCAAGCAGCCAGGCATCATTTGGAGGTCTGTCTTCTGAAAACCAAAATGATGGATGTGGTTGGTGAAAGTTGAAGTCACTGATTCTGAAGATTAAAAGTAGTTTTTATTGGCATTACAGATACATGCCACTGAAACATGTATCTGATGGTTAATCATACAAAAGAGGAACTCCCAGTGCTTTCTGTTCACAAGCTTACACTAGCTTCTGATTTTGCACTGTTTCAGAAGTAGAATGTTTTTTAATAGATACTCTTTTGATTGTTCATTCTCTGTGAACAATTTTTAAATTATAGTTATCCTTTTGCTTCGCATTCACCTTTATACATCTCTTGTCATTTCTGTGCTCTGTCAGTTTCTTTCTCTCACTCACCAGACCTATAATTATACCACTCGTGTATCACTTGGATGTAAAGGTTGAAGATGTGTATAACATTTTTCTTTTTTACTTTAATCTCTTTTGTGGCCTCGTTCTACATGACCGCACCAGTGATGTGTGAGGTACAAGGTTCATCGTTTAACTCCTGTCTGCATTCAGAAGCATCAAATTGTCCTTCCCACTGTTCATGTCATCGTGTTAGATACAGCCAATAGTATGTTGCTGTAAGCGCAGCTCGTTGTAGGTAATAGCTGCTTACTATAATAATCATGCGTTCTTTTTTGAACAGTGAAAGTGACACAACTCTTTATTTAACCTGCTTTGTTGTACATTGAGCTCACAGCTCTCACTCTACTCTGAAATGCACAGTTTACTTCCTGTGTTGTTTCCATCAGAACCCACCATCTGTTTTCACCGCTGCCTAAAAAAAGTTACTAGAGGTTTTTTTAGTAGTATTTCAGCTATCTAACCCACTTACTAGCTTCTTTTTTGACAAATTAAGTGTTTTCTTGTCCCTGATGCTTGGCCATTGTTCTATTAGACACATTTTCTGTCACTGGTCAGCTGCCACTATCAAATAAAGGGCATTAAAAAAGCCACAATATAATAATAATAATAAAGAAAAGTAGCTGAAGTATAGAGCAATCTGTGGCAGATCAGTTTCACCTTTTTGGGGCATCAGAAGCAACATAATCCAGCCCAGTGAAAATAATATTTGCAGAAACTTTGGTAAAATGAAGATTTTCCTAATCCCAGTTCTAAATTTAGCTGCATGCAGTTTCAAAATATGACAGTGGAGGAACAGACTCTGTCACACCGAAGCCCTCCGCTTTACGTCATCACCCCACGATACTGCAAGAGACTTGAAGTACAAGACTTACAGTGACAAAGACTGGGATGCAAGGATGCCAGTTTCTGTGGTAACCATAGAGCCTGTGACTGTTTATACTCCTGTTTTTGTGT